AATAATAATAATAATAATAATTTCACTGAATTTCTGCCATAAAGAGTTATCATTATTTTCACTATTTACATTCGGGCTATTGTCCACGTCTTTGTTTCTCTTATCACAACATTTCGGCAGTCGCACCCCCTGGCCTTCTTCAGATGTTATCGATCCGGGAATTCTGAAATGAATAATTTTTCTGTTCGATCCCTAGACCGATGTAGTGTGTACCTGTATTCAGTAGAAACTGGGCGAATAATAACCGAGCAGTATTAAAACTAAGAACTAGACGAGATATCCCTAGACATAAGCTGCGGAACGAGAACAGTCTACCCTGTAGATTAAATAAAGGGTTTAGTTTGGAATTCCCTGTAGGTTGCCTGAATCGATATACATCCGGTGATGATCAGAGGGTACAACGGCCTAAACTTTGTGATAACAACAACAAAGATGAAGACAATAATCCGAATATAATTAGTATAGGTAGATCCACTAATGTAAATAATATAGGTACCTCCACTAATATAAATAATATAGATATCTTCACTAATTCGTAAGATCTAAGGTTCAAAATAATTTTTTAAAAATGAAAAAGCTTTCTCAAAGCTTTCGTTTTAGCAATAACTGAAAGCTAAAAAATTAAATTTGCTATTTTCCAGTAAGCAGAATATCCTGGTGCATTTCAAACAGAAATTATATTGATTGGAATAGGGTTTTTATTTTTTCTAAAATAGTTGATTATCGCCCCTTTTTTGTCGTTTATCATCGCAATGTAATTCTCTTTATTAAAAAATTCCAAAAATAAAATATATTTTTCTGAAAATTATTTGAGAAATATTCGCTGATTTAAAGCATAATTTGTCCGATTTAAAAAAAAAAAATTTACTATAAGTTTAAAATAACATAGAAATGCTTTTTTTAAACCAAACAGTAGCTGTGTTTTTTACCGACAGTAGCCATATTTACGTTTTTGACGAGTGATTACAAGGTGATGACAGATTCTGTTTTGTTCTACGAATTCTTTATCTGTCAAACATAATTTAAGAACATGATGTGAGCGCCTTTTTATCATTTTGAAGTACGCAGTAATCTTAAAAATGTTGGAATATACTTTCTGTACTCTATTTTATTAATGTTGAATTTAAATTTACAGTCCACGCTCTTATTTTCTGATAATGTAGTGTATAATAGCCCATGCTTTAAAAAATGCGCACGTTTATATACAAAAAGATTCAAAATTCTTTATAAAATCCTAGAGTTTGAAGACTGGTATTAAGCTTAACAATTTATGATTAGTAGATACAGTCTTCGTTTAATAATAATCATACTTATTATAAAACTCAGGTTGTGTGTGTGTGTGTGTGTGTGTGTGTGTGTGTGTGTGTGTCTGTACGTTTATATATTGGATCGGATTTCCTACATTTTTCAACCGATTTCAACAAAACTTCACAGGACTACGTAAAATTACCTTGTGGTGGTTCTAACAGCGCCAAAAATTGGAAAAACACAATTGTTTTTGCACGAAATCAATTTGAAAACACGATTAAGAGACATCGCCAGAATGAAAGGGGGACAACTCATATCGAGTTATACTTATTATAAAACCCAGGTTGTTTGTGTGTGTTCGTTTGTATATGGGATCGGATTTCCTACATTTTTCAACCGATTTCAACAAAACTTCACTTTTTTTTTGGCAGGTTGTGTTTCTTATTGTATTGCACAATTTTTTCTTTATTTTTACATTCAGAATGCTTTAAAAATTCCATTTACAAGACAATTGTTTATAATAAAATTCTATTCAATCGGTAGACTCATAACGATTGAAAACAATGTTTTTGTTTGAGTTTGGGTTTGACCAATTCGTAAGAAAAAAAAAAGAAAAAAATACTTAAGACATGCATGTCTGTCAACCTTAAACAATAATCTTTGTCAATTTTATTTTTCAGTCTTTATGATGGTCGATACTTGATCTACTGTTACATCCCGGGCAACGTCGGGCTCTACTGCTAGTATAATCTAAACGGCTGAAATTAATACAGAATTTTAAAAGATTTAAAAGTTTTTAAAAAATTCTAATTAAAATGAAAGAAAATGACAATTCTTGTAAAAATGTATTATTCATCGAAAGAAATGTTTTTTCTGAAAATAATAGTGTTCGTAGTATATCTCATTTACAAAAGGAATTCAAAGCTTTTCTAATTAAAAAAATGTCATAGTTTTATTTCATTTTTATTTTACTGATTTTCGAAGAGAAAACCAGGTGAGGTCTACCTGATCAATGTAAAACGAACAAGCTGAATGTAAAGACTTTAACAGAAGGTACCAGAAACCTAAGCCTAAACAGGAAACAAGAAATAACTCCTACTCATGTTCAAAAGAGGGCCATTGAATAAGTAAAACTTAGGAGTAAAAAACCTATATTTGAGAGTAAGAAAATCAATGAAATATTTTTCTACATTCATGCTTATTATTGAAAACACCACAAAGAAAACAAATTCTGCAGTGAATATAGGAAATGTGGCGTATTCGCCAGACTAAATCATATTCACGCAATCGCCTGTTTTACTCCGTGTAACAGTATTCTGGTAATATTCAAATGTTTCTCAAAGAATCGGTCGAATCAACAATCGTTGTTTTATAATGGGATAGTCAGTGGGAAATTGTCATGAGGTCATAGAATACAGTTTGATATCTGAGTGAAGACGCTGTAAAATTATTTAAATAAATATTTTTTCTTTAAAATTCTGAATATATTTGCATCAATCGCACAATCACTGATTTTTCTTTCTGTTACAGTAACAGCAAAAACGGCTGATCCGAGCGAGATTATTGTTCGGTCAATGTCGTTAAAAAGCATTTAATAAGCAATTTTCAGTTCAATTTGTTAATAATTAGAAGAGAGTAGGGGTCTGTATCCATTCTCAACTCAATTATAATGATTAGATTTTTGCATGAAGTATATTCATCTGATTTCTCTTTGTGTTACAGTATAAGCAACAGCGACTCATCGCAGAGAGATTTATGTTTGGGCAATACTGAACTTAACCTAAAGAATAAAGTGCTTTCCAGTTTAACTTGTAAATGAATAATATTCGATCTCTAATCTTTGGTATAACGATAAACTACATCCAGCAGCAAAGCCTCTGATCGGGAGGTGGGAAGAGCGTTTCCAGATCTACCCTGTTTCGGGGTGGTAGCATCTGTTAGGGTCTAGCCTAAACAAAACATTAGGAAAGTATGAAAATACATTTTTATAGTAAATATACAAGCAATATATTGTTATAAAAAAAGTGTCAGCTATACATATTTATAGTAAAATGATCAACCCTACATTTTTACAGCAAAATAAACAGCAATACATTTTATCTTTAGTTGAATGTATACACTTGCGTTCAAAATATATTCATTTGAAGCCATAAAATTGTGTTCGGATTATTTAGATTTCGGCTTTAAATAACCCATAGAGGTGTTGATATGCCTCTAAACAAAACCAACCCGCTATTTGATTTCACTCCTATAATGAGTCAGTTAAGTGTCCTACGCTTAGGTGATCGTCTTTTCCGATTCATGACTGATTAGGAAGAAGATGTTCCCGCAGTAGGTTGCCATTTGTTTCTGCGGTAGACAACCAAAGCTATAGGACCCAGTCTATCCTGCTATTCATCCCATAGATGGTGGGAAATAGATGGATTCATAACTTTCCATTTGCGCATAAGTGAATGTAACTCGAATTCGAACTCTGCTCTCCGATTTCTCCTTCCGAGCCTGTTATCCATTATTCTACATCACGACGCTATAATATTGTTACAATTTTTGCATGTTTGAGTGTTTGTTACAAAATCATGTCAATATTGAAAGGGGAGATTAAATTAAAATATTACTAACTGTTATATATATATATATGTGATATATATATAAAAGTCGTCGTCGTATGTCCGTCTTGAGAGACGATGGAGTAGCGCAGAACTAGCACTGCCCCTCTCTAGCAGGGTGCAAAGGAGAGGATAAACCAATACAGTTTGGTACCAGCGCGGCTGCCGAAATGTAGCACAAAGTGCCGTCCATCCACTCCGGGTTTAAATTCAGAGTTGTCCTTCTTGACTAGTTGCCATCCAAGGCTATAGAACCCAGTCCGTCCTACTATTTGCCCATAGCTGGAGGGAGAAGAAGAGGATCAATGCGTAAGTGAATGTAATGGATTCGACCGGAATTCGAACCCTGCTCTCCGATTCCTCAATCGGAGTCGCTATCCATTACTCCGTGCCTCCTCTATATAGAAAAGAAATATTTTTATGCCGAGATATATTTTTATATAATATAAACATATTTTTTCACGTTTTTCTTTTTTTTTTTATGTTATTAATAAGGTTTTAAGTTCTATTTTTTGTAACTAGAGTATTATCACATTTATAAAGAAAGAAAGAAACATTTTTTTAAAATGTAAGCAGAAAATAATTCAACAGTAGACTCCTGCCAATTAAGGATTAGTCAGGTTACAAGTCAAGCTAACTTTAAATTTTAAAGTAGTTTAGCTAATTTAGTAGTTTCCCTTATTTATTCAATTTCAGACAGTTGCAATATTAATTAATTAGGTGCCGAGCTCAACGTTAGCATATGGCATCTTTTAAGCGAGTAGTGATAACGAGAGAAAGGGGACGGTTCTTGAATATTGTCGGCCATTTAACAAACACAAAGATGAGGTGACCAAGTTTTATAGTAGGAATGGTAAGAATAACGAAAGAACTTGTGGCGATGGATAAAAGAATCAGAACAAAGGAGTCACCTGTATAAAGGACGAGTTCCATTCAAAATCACTTGAATTTTAAGACATTCGACACGGACTTAAGGAAGTTCTTAGATAACATCAACTGAAATGTCAGGATAAAGAGATAAAAGACGAGGAAAATGTCCGTTAATAATGTAGAACGACGGTGGGGGGGTAGGGGATACAACTGTGTGATAAAGACAGCAAAAGGAAAAGAAAATGACCCGAAGGTATGATATTTCATTTCATGAATTCAGAGCGAGCGAGAGATTGCGAGAGAATGCGAGAGAAATAATGAAAGAGAGAATGGGAGAGAACGAAAGAGGGAATGAGAACAAAGAATGAGAATGAGAACAAATGAAAGAATGAGGAAGAGGGGGGGGGGATAACAAGAGAGAATGAAATAGGGAATGAGAAAGAGAGATAATAAGAGGTTGAGATAGGGATTGAGAGAGATTAAGAGAGAATGAGAAAGCGAGAGAGAATGTGAGCGATAAAGAGAGTGAATGGGACAGAGAATGGGAGAGGATGACAGAGGGAATGAGAGATAATGACAAAGAATGAGAGAGAGAGAGAATGAGAAAGAATGAGAGAGAGAGAATGAGAAAGAGAGAGATAATGAGACAGAATGAAATTGGGAATGAGAAAGAGATAGATCATGCGAGAGATTAAGATAGGGATTGAGAGAGGTTGAAAGAGAATGAGAAAGCGAGAAAGAATGTGAGAGAGAGAGAATGGGAGAGTACGACAGAGGGAATGAGAGTGGATGACAAAAAATGAGAGAAGGATACAAGAGAGAAAATGAGAAAGAGGGAGATAATTGGAGAGAATGACAGAGGGGTTGAGAGTGGATGGGAGAGAATGAAAAGGCGAGAAAGAAAGTGGGGGAGAGACTGAGAAAGAGAATGAGAAAGAGAGAGATTAGGATAGAGAATGAGGGAGAGAGAATGAAATAGGGAATGAGAGAGAAAGCAAGAGGGAGAATGAGAAAGCAAGAGAGAATGTGAGATTGAGAGAGAAAGAAAATTAATGAGGGAGATAACGAGAGAGAGAATGAAAAAGCGATGAATGAGAAAGAATGTGAGAGAGAGAGAGAGTAAGAGAGAACCAGAGAGAGAGAACCAGAGAGAGAGAGAGAGAGAGAAAGAGAGAGAGAGAATGATAAAAAGCTATGAAAATAGCGTAGATATTATTGGCGTACAGGGGGCGGCAAAAAATAACGCCTTTTTTATTAACATTTTATTAAACAAAAATAAATGACAGTAGTTTAAGAAAATTAATACGTATTGTCATATCAAAACAACATGACTTTTTCTATGATGAACAAATTATTACCATGTTCAAAATGCAGCCCTCCATGTTCAATAACAACGCTGAACCCAATCAACAACACTTTTACAGACCATTTTAGACATTTCTGTATTAGTATCAGAGAAATAATCAGAAATTGCTTGTTTTAATTCAGGAACTATTTTCTGTTTGAATCTGTAAACAAGATCGTCCACAAAAAAAGTTAGATATTGTTAGGTCTGGTAATCGTGATGGCCGTTCACACGCCCCACGTCATCCTATCCACCTCAGCTTGGAAAAAAGGGCGTTAATTTGCCACACCCTGTATAATATTAACATCACTTCTAAGAAATTAAACAGAAGTAACATAGGAGGTTACAGTGGTTGTGGAGACGACTATAAAAAGAAAAAAAAAGCATTGCCCTCCCAAAAAGCAGTATTTTCTGATAACGGCAGGAAAAACGACAAATTATATCCGAAAAAATCGATATAGAACATTTTCTGATGAGAGTCCAATTCTTATATGCAACATACATATTGTGATGACGACAATAAAAACCAGAAAATATATTAGAAAAATCAATATAATGCATTTTCTTATAATCACACTAAAATCCGTGAAACAAATCAGAGGTAAAAATCAATGTATAATTTGTTATGACGACAATAAAAATGGGAAAACATCTATCACAAAAATCGATATACGGCTTTTTTTGTTAACGTCAGTAAAAACGAGAAGACAGATTATAAAAAAAAATCAATATACGGCATTTTTATAACGACAATTAAAACGATGTAAAAAAAAAGTAAGGCACGACTTTTTTGATAAAGACAATTAAAAATGATTAAAAAAAAAAAGCAAAAAAAGTTTATCCAAAAATCAACGTAAATAATGACGGTATTTTGCGTCGGAAATTCAGACAGAATCAAAGGCAAGGTTTAGAGAATCCGAAATATTTTGAATTACCGTGATAATAATGATTTAATTGTACTGTCTGTAGAAACACAAAAGAAAAGTTGTGGCATTGAAGATTGAGCTTAATTCGATGAATTTATCATAACATCCACAATACTTTTGCATTACACGCAAAAAATCGTTTCGGATTCATAGCTTCATCCAGGTATGTTACTATTTTTACACATACACAAACACACACACACACACATACACACACACATATGTACATACATATATATATATATATATATATATATATTATAAAAGTGACAGTCTGTTTGTAGAACGGTGGCCTGACGATTGCATATCTGTTTCATGAAACAGACTGTCGCCTCTAATTGTTGACATCTATGTTCACTTTTATATTTACACACGCTCTATCTCTGATATTGAGCACTTTATCCCATAAATATAGCACACCTTAAGACTACATTTCTCCATATATATGTATATATATTATAAATTAACTGATTTAAAATATGGCTTCTTCGCTACACAGGAAATGCCATGTTTCAAAAAACCGAAGCTAAAACTTCAAATTTAATTATATAATTAAATTAAAGCATTAGTTCTTTTTCATCTCAAGCGAATTCTTCGCTTGAAGATGAAAAAGAACTAATGCCGTCCAAGAAAATTCATTACGTCCATGGATACAGCATATTCTAAAATTATCTATATCTATCTATCTATATCTATCTATCTATCTCTCTCTCTCTCTCTCTCTATCTATATATATATATATATATATATATATATATATATATATATATAAGAATGTGTGTGTGTTATATTTATATTTGTGTGAATACAGTCACGACCAACTCCCGCGAGACCAGCTAGAATAATGGTACACACAAATACAGCCACGTCATCCTCTGATTACCAAATTCATGAATTGAAAACACCGACATTACCAGACAGACACAAAAAATGCTCGCTAGAATCCAGACTCTTTCACAAGCATCCTCACCCCATGCACAAACTCTAAAAGATCAAATCATGTGAGCATTACCTGACAAATAATAAGCAAACAATACAGATGTCAGAGTAGCAGAATATTCTCTTTCATATCTTTTTACCAAAAAGTCTGATAAATCCAGACATGTCAAATTTATAAACGTTTTCTATTTGTTTCTTCTTCTATCGTTCTGTGGGATTTGAATCCATATTTTGTTTCAGTTCGCGTTTGTCTAACTCGATTTTCCAACCCAGATCTCGTCTTATGATCTTTTGTCGTTCCAAGTCAAGCTAAACTAATAACACTTGAAGAAAAAAAAAGCATGAAAATTACATATTCATTACTTTTTCTCTTGGCTTTTATCGCAACTTTACCCGAGCCATTATTCTACGGCCGTGAGAAGAGAACCTGGATAAAAAAGAATGTCGCATAAAACCCTCGTTAAGATTTTAAATATGTCGCTTGAATCTCAGGAACGCCTTGTTGAACGAACCACTTACTTCAATCATCTTAGCTACGCGAACTTCTCTGTAGGCGATCCCATCATTCTTATAAAACACACCACTTATTCCAAGATCATTCTCAGTGATATATTTTTGAGCCACTCTGAAATTATATGTCAAAATCAATAACTGATGAAAATAGTAATGGTAGCGATAATATTAGTCGTTTCCTTATAAGGAAACATTCGGAATTCATTGACTGAATAGCCAGTATTTCTGTCGGTTCAAATTTATAAAATATGTCTATTGAAACGAATTATCAGGAAAATAGGTTTCTCAAGTCCAATAATTATTATCGCTCTTTTCACAGTGTACCCAGTAAAAAAGCGGTAAATTCAGAAAAACTTGAAACGACCGTTGAAAATTGGTGATGACTGATGTGACTGAAAAATTCAGGAACAATTTCTGTATCTGTCGTCGATCCCTACGTCGGATTTTTTTTTTTGAAATGTACGATAACTTGACGCTCAAAATCAGTGAGTTGTTTACCCATACGAGAAGGGCAGAACGATAGACGAAAGTTGTCTGCAAATAACCTCTATATGACTTGTCACATGATCGAGCAGCAATTAATCAATCATAAAAAGGACCAATCAGAGGTAAGTAATTACGGGAGAGCGGTATGATTATTCAAGATCATAAACATTCAAGAAATTCCTGAAAGATATAAGCACTGATAATAAATTTACTCCGTTTTTTAATGGGTATCATGGGGCTTCCTTCCTGAACTTTTGTTTGTTGTAGTGTGGGACATCCACATATTTATTATGTCATTATTTTCTCTTTGAGTTCGATGTGATATCCATTTTAGTTGTTACTGCTGTTGAAAGTCCTAAACTAATGTGGTTTCTCTTATTTGGTACAGTTCTTTATTTGTGATTCTGTAGGTTCAATCCACAAGTTTCGAAGTAAGATGGTCCTGGGTAAGACCTATAGGTATCACTCGTTTGAAGACATTTTTATTCATTAATGTTGTATACAGCTGTTTCTGAATGAGTTGGGCGCCATGCATGGCATTCATATAAAAATCTCTATCTGAGGAGGATATTTAAGTATATGATTCCAGTTTTTATGTTAATGTTTTGGTTTGGTCGCAGCTTGCGGTGTTGTGTAAAACTATTCCTGGTGCATTCTATTCTATGTTACACTTTATTATCTCTTAGATTATTTTTTTTAATATATCTGATCCTTACAACGAGGTATTTGAAAATATTTAGTATTTACTAATTCCACTCTTTGTCTGCTCTGAGTAAAATGCTAAAAATGCTGTCTAATAGTGAGAACAATCTGAAAATAAAGTGAAAGACAGAACTAAAGACGGATGAGTTGGAAAGTCGACGGAAATCGAAGATGAAAACAAAATCAGGAAAACAAATATATCACTATCTGATACCATGAGAAATTAACATCTCTGTAAACAAACAACCCCCCCAAAAAACAAGAAAAAAAAAAACAAGAAAAAAGCCATTAAAAATAACTTAGTAAATACTTTGAGTTTTTTTTTTTTTTTTTTTTTTTTTGTTTTAATCTTTCTGTTGGCTGCATACAAAATATTACAATGAAGTTACATAAAACAGCAGATTGATACCTAACGGCTTCATTTTACTTGAGAGGAAACAGGCCGGGAACTGGAGACGTGAAAAGTAAATGAGAGTGCAAAAGAATTTATACCAGAAAAACAACAGCGACACGACTTTGTCTAACAAAGACAGAGTTAAGCAACTGCATGGCCGCGGGTTCTAATACTGTCAGGACAAATACATGTATCTCTTAACTGACTTTAGAGAAAAAGATATCAACTGACAAGGAAAATAATATCAGATTTCTCTCTTTCTCTTTCTCTGCATATATATATACACACACACACATATATATATATATATATATATATATATATATAGAGAGAGAGAGAGATAAAATATATATATATATGCAGATAGATAAAAGCATATATATACAGTTAGATCAAAACATATATATATATATATACACACATACACACACATATATATATACATATATATATGCTTATATATATATGAATATATATAAAGTATATATATATATATATATATATGTAGAGAGAGAGAGAGATAAATAAAAAGCATATATATATGCAGATAGATAAAAACATATATATATACAGTTAGATCAAAGCATATATATATATACACACATATATGCTTATATATATATATATATATATATATATATATATATATATATATATATATATGCACTTTATACAGGGGAAAATGTTGAAAATACAACTGGAGTCTTTAACGTGTGTCTATTGTTTATAGATTCTTCATTTAATCTCATTATATATATATATATATAATGAGACGTATTATTATTTCCTTTGATTTCTGGTGTGTACCCATCTCGTTCCGGTCTTTTTCAGGTAGTTGGAATCTTGAACTGAACCCTTTAGTTCACTCACTGGGGTAGACTGTTCTAGTTCCACGTGGCATGTTTTAATGGCTGTCAGTTGTCTCCTGTTAATTCCCCGCTCCAAGTTTTCCACTGCTTTAACCGGGTATTGAACTCACATTCTTTGTCTCCTGTCACTGTATCTAACTAACGTCTTTATCCCCTGTGCCATGTGTCGGCTTAAATAATAAAAGCACGCCTCTGAACCATTAACTTTCTTTTTGTTTATTTTAAATTCCCATTATATTGTTACAGATCCTATGTCTGTAACCAAGTCTGGTATGAGTTTTGTCTACATCCCATCGTTTGGCACGGGCAGAGTATTGGCCACGATGAGGGTTATGTAGCCAACGTTTCTGCATTTGGTCCACCTCATTTTCTCTTTTCATCTTTTTAGGTTCAATCCGCTGCAGTATTTATTCTATCGTTTAATTGCACATCTTCAACTACTTGAAATTCCATTTTGAATTTGTTGCCTTCCTTTATTACTTAATAAATTGTTTATGTCTTTTATTATTATTATTATTATTATTATTATTATTATTATTATTTCCTTTGATTTCTGGTGTGTACACATCTCTTTCCAGGTCCGTCCCAGAGACCTAAGGTTAGAAATGGCATACTGATATTTTCCACTGACGACTAAAAAACACACATACACACATATGTTACATAGATAAAGCCCCTCGTAAGGTGTGTGTTGTACTCGCGAGAACAATTTTTTTCTATTTCTTTAAGGCATGGGCTTTCAAGAATCGCTTCAATGAGTCTATTGGAATCTTTTCCAACCAATCCGAGGGCTCCAAATACAACAGGGATTGTTGATGTCCCCATGTGCCACATTCTTGAGATTTCGATTTCAAAGTCCTTGTATTTTGATAGCTTTTTGACGATCTTCAAAGATGCATTGCAGTCTGCAGGGACTGCCATATCAATAAGGAGTCACTTTTTTGTTTGCGGTCTCTAATAACAATATCTGTGCGGTTAGATTTGATTGTTTTTTCTGTGTGTATTGCGTAGTCCAACAAATTGTAACAGATCTTATCTTTGTAACCGGGTCTGGGTGGTGTTCATACCAAATTCTATCGGTTTCCATCCCGTAGAAGTTGCAGATTATCCAGTGCAGATATTGGCCCACCCTATCATGCCGGGTTTTATATTCAGTTGGTACCAATACCGTGTAACGTGATACAAGATGATCAATTGTTTCTGGATATTTATCACAGAATCTGCATTTTAGTCTAACACAATATTTTAGTATGTGTGCTTGATAATTTCTATTTAACAAGCCTTGGTCCTGTGCAGCAAGGATAAAACCTTCAGTTTCAGCTGCCCTACGTAGCCACTGATGAGTACGACGTTTGTCTACATCAGCTTGTTTGGTATAGCAGAATATTGGTCATCAAGCGGTTTATTTTGCTATTGTTTCCGTTGCTTTATTATTATTATTATCATTATTATTATTATTATTTCCTTTGATTTCTGTCGTATACAGATTTCCATGCGGGTCCCAACCAGAGACCTAATTTCAAAAATGGCTTCATGGAATATTCAATTGATAATTTTTTATAAAAAGATAAAATGTAAGACCACATACAATTTACACAAGAGGGCTACAACTATAACTTTATTTATTGATGTCTTCATGTGACACATCTTCGAAGATTTTTATTATTATAATTTCTTATATTATTATTATTATTAATATTTAAAATATAATTATCATTTATTTTTAACTATCCTTTTTCTTTCTGATGTAATGGCTGATATGAAATTCTGGCAATTTTGAGGCATCTTTTAAACTTGACCTCAAAAATCTCTTTTTTACCCCTTTTCTTTCTGATGTAATGGCTGATATGATATTTTGGCAATTTTGAGGCATCATTTTAAACTTGACCTCAAATCTATTGAATTTTCTTCAAGAAAATCCGGAATTGGAAGCAAGAAAGCACCTTCCGATCTATCTGCACAAATCTATTTAAGCCTTGTTATTTTAAAAATGAAAATTTAAGCAACAATTATAGCCAATCAGACGACAACATCAAGAAATACCCACAAGAATAAAGACAAGAGTACTGAAGCAAATAAAAGACTTGCTGTCACTTTATCTCAAACAAAAACAACCTCATACTCGTCACAAATCTCGTAATTCATTATGTTATGGGACCTTACCCATAATAACATAACGGACTATTCCATACGTAATAAATACTGCGCCTCAATCGGAAGCAGAGAGTTCCGTCTGAAGTCTGGAGTTCCGTCTGAAGTCTGGAGTGAAGTACGTCAGAAGGCTGTTAGTCAGAGCGAGCGAGTCAGTCAGTCGAGTCACAGGCAGTCCGAAAAAGAGCCGCGTTAAGACAATTACTACTAGACCTGATTGTTCGTACTAACACTTTCTACTTCTCTGTATATATTCCTGTTTGTAATATATCTGTGTTATTCCATATCCGTGTTCGAGTTCTTCTTTATTGGTTCTACCTTGGACTATCACCCGGGGTACAAGGAACCGGACCATAGCAATTGAGGTTCTTGGGGAATCACATGCAACTGTAGTGTCATTGGTTCTGCCTAGGGCATAGTAACCAGACAGAGTTCATGCCTTTCCAGG